AATGTAAAAATAACATTAGATAATATACTACTATACATAGTTGTATTTACTAATTTGTTTCATTCATTTCGTTGTTTAAAAATGCTTAAAAAATTCAGTAATTGCCATTACTCGTATGTGTAGTACATGTAGTACATGTATATTATTCACGTGATCTGAAAAAAATTTGGATGGTGAATTTACCCTGGTACCAATTACAGCTGTTTTCATAATTCTGAAAATTGACTGACCGAATATTTGCCAGATTTTCCAGAATTTATGAAAACAGCTGTAATAACCGGGTGGATGTTTTATAAAATTTATATTTACATAAATTCTAGGACACCTGGCAAAAATTAGCTGAATAATTTTTCAGCTGATCCAGTTAAGTAATTATAGCACTTTGCAAAAAGATGTGGTCACATAATTTTTGTGATGATGATGAACGACCCTAGCGTCGCCCACAAAAAATAGTAGCCGGATAGATTTACCAGTTATATGTGATTTTGTGATTCAGATTTGATTAATGACAATATTGATTACAAATCAAAAAAAAGTCTGTGCTCTTGTAAAATTCATTATTGTTACTATATAATAACAAATAAAATTTTCTTCTACTATTGTTACTGCTATTACAAAAGCGAATTAATGTAAATGTTTCAAAATTTTTACAATATTTGCTTGTCTTATTTTATTTTATATTTATTTGAAAAATTTTTTTTGATTAGAGGCGAATTTAAATCGAGAAAAAAATTTTTATAAATCAGGTTTTTTTTAATTATGTCAAACAAACAAATCAACTTCTTCAAGGAATGTTATACCACTCGAAATAGTGAGGATTTTTTGAAGAAAAAGAAATCAAAGTAAAAAAGTGTTTATGATATCAAAATCAGATTAAATTGTTATGTTCAAAGAATAATAAAGAACAACCTGATATGACAATTAACTATTTGGACATTACCAAAACTGTGTATAATGCTTTAATTTCATTAGATAATACTAATGAGTTTTATGAATGTGAGAATCAAAGATTAGATTTAATGTTTCATATTGAATTGTTGTCTTTGCATAATATTATTTTAAAGGATAAAGAATCGCAAAAAAAAAATATTGAATTTGAAATTGATTATCACATTGTTTCTCTTGTTTCTGATAGAGATGGTTATTCATGAGTTTATCGAGATAAAAGTTCCTAAAAAAACTTATTGCTTTTAATTTATTTTTGTAATTGCTGGATTAAACTCAGAAAATGATAAGCAAAACATCCTGAATTAAACAAGCAACAGAATACTCTTATCTTTCTTGAATGATATAATTGTAAAGGATTAATCAATATAGAAATTTTATTTAATCTAAATTTAATTAAAATTGAATATTCTCATAAGATATTGCATTCATGATCAAGACATGTTTCAATAACATCTAAATTAAAAAATTTATTTAGGATAATATTAATTCTAGTGTTTCTGAAATTTGGTATCAAGTTCAAGATAATTGTATTAATGGATATGAAAACTTTAGCATTTCACAAACTTATTAATAGTGATCCATAAAATCTCACAAAGTATATTTTCGTGATTCTAATCCTTTAATATCAGCTAAATACTTATTAAAAGAGTTTAACCAAAAAATTATTGTGAATAATTTGGATTCTTTTATACCAACCTTTAGATTTTTAATCTCATTATTTAATTGCTTAATTCATAATAAGCTAGATACAATTGCAATCAATACAACCTATAATACTAATAATTAAGTATGTGAACTATATTCACTTTTAGGTATAATTGATGGTACTGGATTTCCTTTTAGTTATCTTTTGATTTCAGTAAGAAAAAACAGAAACATAACAAATATTCTTTTTCAATAAATGTGTGCTCTAAAAGAATATGGCTTACAATCTTTTCCTTTTATATTTATTGACAAAGATTATAGTGAAATTAATACAGCATAGATTGTTTGACCTGAAACTCATTTACAGTTATGTATTTGGTATATACAACAGGCAGTAAAACAACAATTAGCTTCTAATAAACCAAATATATATTATAGTTATAATCCTAAAATTGCACATCAAAAATGTTCTGTTATAGATTCAAATTAAAAATTAATAAATAATTCAAATTCATAGACATTATGTCTTTTAAGTTTACAAAAATCTATAATTGAATTAGTTGAGAATCATTCAAAACATTATATGTTGTTACCCAAACCTGATAGTATTTTTAATACAAATTCTAATAAAATTTGGAGAGAATATATTAGTAAGATGATGCAATTTTGTAAAGATAACAACTTGTTTCGATTATGGATTTATTTTTGAAAAGAATGGTATTCTAGAGAAAAATGAAATCTATAGTCTCGATTAGCTGATGAAAAAATCATTCATATTAAAACAACAATGACTGTTGAATCTTATTGGTATCAAATTAAGCATGATTATTTATATAAGTTTTATAAACTATGAATTGATCATTTGTATTATATTCTTATAAAGAAAGTTATTACTCGATAATTACATCGAATTCACATGTTTGGAGAAAATTATAAGTTGATATCATGACATAAAGAGTTTAAACAAAAATGGAAAGAACATGAAAATAAAATTATATAAACTAATAATAATAACAAGTATTTTACGGATCCAGTCAAATGGATATGTGCATGTTCTGCATATATTCAAAGCAGGTTTTTTTTGTATAAATATTTAATTAATTCTATAGAAAAACCTGATCCAATATTTTTTAAAAAGGTAACAATAAAAACTTTATACATCTTAATATTAAAATCTGATATTAATAATATTTTTATTTAGGTACAAAGAAATAGAACATATCCATTAATTTCAACCTATGAAGGTGAATTGGTAAATATGTTTTATCAAGAAAGTTCAAATTACAAATCTTATAAATTTTCAAACCATGAACTTTCAAATATTCAAATAATTTAAGAATCAACTAATAAAAATAAAGATGATAGTATTAATGATGAACAATGTAATTATGAAATTGAGATTGCTTATTTA